AGGGCAAGAGCTGGGGTCCACCCTGGACAGGTACCCAGCCTCAGAGCCGGGGAGAACCCACATGCAAACACAGAAATACCGGCTGTGTACTGCTGAACTTTAAACCACCATCATGTGATCAAAAACACGTATACGGGATCAGGAAGTGCTCACTCGGGCTGGACGTCTTACTGAGAGCAGAAGAAGAGAACACAGCTTCAGCTTATATATCGATTATAAAATCATTTCACTTGCTCCAGCGTCGCACAAACCGAATCCTTCAAAAGCAGAAAAGCCCTCTTAAATTAAATAGACTACTTGTTAATCTCATTTTACTGTACTTACTTATTTGCTTTTCTTAAATGTAATTTTATTAAAAGTTTTATTTGAAGTTACTTATTAAATATTTTTTACACTTTCCCGTCAACATCAGCCACAAAGTGATGCACGACGAGTGAATTCATCATCTCCACACTCTGCTTTACCTAGAAGCTCGATGAAAAGCTCGGATGCTTTACTCACTAGGATCGTTCAGTTCGTGCTGCTGTGCCACCGTTGCCGCCCTCATAGCTTTGGGTGGGTTTCTGGCCGCGCAGCAGCTCGACGTCCCTGCTAACAGGGGCGTCCTCCCGTTGTTCAGAGGCAGCAGGGTCCCCCTGGTGGTCGCGAGCCGTGTGGACAGGGCGTCCCCGCGGGGAACCCTTGCGGTCACGACCGGTTTGTAAAAGTTTTGCTGCAGGCTGTTTGGTCCAGAGGAGGGCTGGGATCTGATGGAGGGCCGCAGGGCCGGGGTGGGCAGCGTAGTCTGCTGGCACGGCGGCGTCGATAGATTGTTCCCACAGTTCTGACACTTGCTGCTGTCGTTACTTGGTTTGTTGCACTTCACACACATCCTCGAGCAGACGGTCGACCGGAGAGGCTGCCGACATAAAACACTCGTTAGAGAGGTGATAAAAGGTTTTGTTCTGGTCGCTACAACAATCTGAAAGTTACAAGCAGATGATTTAATTACAGATTTTCTTCTTTATTCCATTGAAGACACGAGTCTGTATGAGTGAGAATTAATGAAATTGTTTCAGCTCCAAAACTATGAGTGAAACGGGATCAGAAGAAGGTGGACAAAACTTAAAGAGGCTTAAAAAAAAAAAAAAAAAAAAAAAGTTATCTGCAGCAGAAGGAAGCAGTGAACATAACATGGAATCAAATATGGTGACCTTACTAGGAAAAACTGTTTATTTACCCATTCAGGAATCTGAGTCAGCATCTTAAACCAATATTTACTTTACAACTCCTGTGACACATAACAGCTGCCAAGCTCAGCTTCTTAAAGCTTTTTTCCCCACACATGTACTCTGACCTTTAACCGCCAAGACTAACGCAGCTGCACTTCCTTTAATGTCCACCAGAGGCTCCAGCAGGGGGTCAGCCCCATAGAAGCGCTATACAAATGCAGGCCATTTACCATAGAAATAAAGGTGTGAAAAACTCACCTGTTCATTTGTGTTCAGGCTTGATGTTTAATGGACCTGTCTAAAGGATGTGTTGCTGGAGCCTTTTGAAGTACTTTTACTGTGCAGTTAGCAGTACTAACAGACTGTCTAAGACACCTGTACTCCAGATTTGGTTTAATGCTTTCAAAACTGACCAAAAACCACATTATATAATTTGTCTTGATTCAACTGAATCATCCAGGTCTGGAAATGTTGATTCATGTGGATGTAGTGTTTGGTCCTCAGACTGAGGATGAGTGAGAAAATGTTTTTTCCCCACTGAAAATGATAAAACAAACCCCTCATACATGCCATCACCTCTGTTACCGTTGGGTGGTGTCGATTTTTGTCCCCACAGTCGATTATTTCACAGCCAAAAGTCTGATTTCTCGTTTAAATGATTGTGTTGCATCCCCTTCTGTGTGCATGAAGCTTCAGCTGGGCAGCAAACTGTACAGTCATCACTTTCACAACATAGCTGACACATTATTATTTAAAAATAAATAAATCACGGATTTTAAATGAATGAATTGATCTAACGTCTTCCACACGGGATGGATAAACTCTGCATTTGTTCCCCAGCTCTTCACTCTGCGAATATCCACTTCCTGCCAAACATCCATCAGTTTGTCTCTGACTGTTTGCCGAGTGTTGGGTTCCCTCACCTCTGCTGCTTTGACCTGCGAAGAAAAGCTGCATCCCTCCAACGGTTTCCTCTTCTGCTGGACACGACGTTTTATGTTCAGGGTCTCCTCCTCTGTAAGATGAACCCATAAAAGGATCAACAGGTGACATCATTCTGAAAACCTTCCTGGACAAAGACGAGGCAGCGTGTGTGCAGTCTGGGAGGCGAAACCCAGGGCGAACTAGTGCAGCGGGCACGAGCTGCCGCGTACCAACAGTCCCACATGATTTTATTAAGTGAGACCGGAGAAGTGTACATTTTTAAGTGGAAATGATGCTCGGTGCGCTCACAGGAGTCCAAATATTGATTCATGGCGTTTTATTATGAGCAGTGAGAAATGCTTCAGCACATAAGGAAATTCTTTTATTCTCTCTGAGCTCCTTTAATCACTTTTTTACCTGGCAAAATTAAAACTACTGATAAGAAAACCTTCCTCTCCAAGGTCACACTTTATTTTGAAAATATCTTTTGTAAAATAACTCAATGGCCTTCAGAGTCTGGCATTTATTAGCTCAGCAAATGTTTTTATAAGTTTCCTGCATCTGCTGGGAGCTTGGAGGATTAATGTGGGAGGCCTTGGGTCTCCTCCTCCTTGTCCTCTGGCAGGAACAAGGAGGAGGCTGAGCCCAGATCTGTAGCCCTGCAGACGCTGCTGGCTGTCACACTCAGCGAGCACACACACGCAGCCCGCTTACACAAACGTTACACAAATACAGACACCGAGTAGCACTCATCTTACGCACACAGATGCCGAACACATCACACACACACTTTTCTCTGCAGGCAACGGGAACACAGCGTGCCTGTCGAAACTCAACACCAGCCAACTGCCTGTAATCACCAAGCCTGATCTCTGGAAAGTCTTTAAAAACATGCAGTGCGATGCGCTCAGTGTGCTGTGAGGTTACCTGGCATCTCTGGGCATGTGAGGACGATGTTGTCTACCTCGAGAGCTTGCTGTGTGGTGGAGAAGTCGTTTCTGCAGAAGAAGGGGACCAAAAAAAAAAAAAAGAAAAAAAAAAAGACTTTGGTAACCTCTGGCAAAGCTGGCAGATCATGTTCTCAGCAAATCCAGATCTTCACTCTGACTTTCAGACATTTTCTCTGTAAATTGAGAAACTTTAAAAATAATCTTGATCGTGGTGGAGACACCGCAGGGCTAAATAATTAACAGGCTGAACACTGAGAGGCTTAACCGGGCTTAAAATAAACACAAACCTCTCACGGAGACTGATGGTGTCTGAAGCTAAAAATCACAAGAAACAGATGCTGGCATAAAAATTAAGTCATTTATGAAGCAATTAATGATAAATATTTACTGATTCCAGGTTTTCTGATGAGAGCACTTACAAAGAGTCTGTTGTACAACTTTGCAAACGGAACGGTTTGGCACTCTGGCTGAAGAAAATTCGTTTTAGGCGTTTGATGGGATATTTATGATGGAGACCGAGCACTAGAGGCATGCAAGTAAAGCTTCCAGAGCTGTTTACATTTGATTTTGTCCCAGTATCTTTGGATGTGACTGAAGTTCTTCATTTTCCCCTCTTATAACCGTCCAACGGCACAAAACAAACAGGCTCCAAGAACTAAACATAAGCCAGGAAGCTTACAAATATGCTGAGTTTAATGAGCGCTTCTTCAATGTGCACAATTTCTCCGATCATCAGCTTCACAGGGGTCCAATTTTTTTAATTTTATGTATATATGGGGAGTGTGACACGACCGCTGTAGCTGTAAGCACTTTTAAATGGAATTATGTGACAAAGTGAAGCCAACACAGTGAAAAACAGACCATCCAGCAAGTTTGGCTTTCAGTCTGGTATTTTATGGAGGTTGAGATCCTTCTTCATTCAGAAAAACCTCAACACTTCACACCGTTAATGAAACAATAACTGTGAAAAACATGCCCTGAGTAACTTTCCTGGAAAGAGTGCTTCCATCAAACAGTCATGAAACTTAAGCAAAGCAAAAACTGACAAAATGTGCGGAGCACAAAAACAAAATGAGAGGATCAACGATCCAGGGCCATGAAATGAGCTCCGGTTAGTTCGGATCAAAGCCTTACCTTTCCTTCAAATCAAGGCTGCTTGAAGATGAAAATCAAGAGAGAAAAACATCTCACTAATGCAATCAAGTCCTGCGATGTAATTCATTTTCTGCAGCTGCAGTTCAATTAAACTTATTTCTCTGCAGCAGACTTCCTTTTACACACAGGAAGAGTATAAAGGAACCCGAGCACATCTCTTAGATTCATATTACTTTCATCTACTGTCAAGAATATCTCATGCTTATCAAGCATCAGCTTAGTTTTATCTAGTTAAGGAACATTTACGCAGCCTGTTTCCCAACAGTGGAATTATAGAGATGTAAAAGCTAAACGGTGGTTTTTCAGAGTGACTCCAGTAAGAAGCAGCACTCACTCTGAGGCCGGTAACACGATTCCTGAAGTCATAGCTCAAGCAAATTTCACACATAAACAGCAGGAGAGGGGGCTAGCAGTATCGAGCGTGCAGGAGATGTTCGTGATGCGTTTATGGGACCTGGGACCGCTCAGGGATCACCAACAGTTTCTCAACACCGTGACTTTGTGGGGCATCGAGACCCATAATCACCCAGAGGTTTCTTGGGTCTGCCCTGGAGCCTCCTTCCGGTTGGACATTCCAGAAACACTTCACCTCGGAGGCGTCCATGCATCCTTTCGATGCAGAGGAGCAGCGGCTGTACTCTGAGCCCCCGCTGACCGAGTGTCCAGACACCCTTCAAAGAAAACTCTGGAGGGTGCGTGTATCCACGGTTCGTGACGACGGGAAACAACTAAACAGAGAGCTTGGCATTCATGCTCCACCACCACAGAGAGGTATAGCATCCACATCAGCGCAGATGCTGCAAAAATCTCCTGCTCCCTCCTCTAATCACAAACAAGACTCCGAGATACTTAAACTCCTCTGGCTGAGCCAGCAGCTCCCTCACATTGAGCACTTTTCCGTGGCATCATTTGCCGATGCTCCTCCCAGCCACATCGCTCTCAGCTACAAAGTGAAGCCAAGAGAACTTCATCACTCACAAAAGACCAGAACCGCTCCATCACTGGGCTGCACCAGGAAATTCTGTCACACAGAAGTTATGACCAGAGTCACCGACCAAAGGCAATGAAGAACGAGTCTGAGCCTGTCGGCAGCAAAGCAAACCGAGGACTCGTTGTAGCTGCGCAAGAATCAAACATCACGTCACCACAGGCCTGATGCCCCACACTACCACAGCACCCCCCACAGGACACACTCAGGGACGCAGTCCAAAGCCTTCTCTGTATGAAGCGCTGAGTGCTCAGGTACAGTAGAAAATGTCTACATCCATCTTTTTTGCTACAGTAATTGAGTGACATGTATGCACATATACAAGAAGACTGCAAAAGCGAGCAGCTATCATCCAGGTGAAACCACTTCACGCAAGTCGAGTTGCCCGAGATTCACAGAATTTACAGAAAAAGTAAAAATGTTGTGATATATATCGTTGTCTGGACGATAAATGTCTTATATCAGGATATGAGATTTTGGTTATATCGCACAGCCCCATCTCCAAGTAAGCTAGAAAGAAAAACAGGAGAAAAATAAAAAACAAATCTGCAGTTGTACAAGAAGTTCTCGGACTGGCTCTGTCTCACCTTTGGACTGGTTTCCTTATTGCGGAGGGCAGTTGTGCGTGCTGAAAGTGGCGCCCTTGTATAAAAATTCCTTGTGAAGGTGCAGACGTTAGGCGTGTGGGTCCGTTGGACATGGACGGCACCACGACTGTGAGAGGGCCCTCACTGCAGGAGAGACAGAAAGAACACATTAACCCTTTAACACAAAGACAGACACACAAAACATGAATTCACTCTGAAAATATTTTTACCCACATTCAGCCCCAAAAATTCTTTAGTGTGCCTGTAGTTTTAAGTAATGAGACCATAATACAACTGAACATATTATATAAATAAACAGTAACCAGGCAACAAATGAAGTCAACAACTGTAGTTCTGCTAACAGCCACCTGAGGCTCCACAAGCATCCAACTTTACATGTTTACAGCCAAGAAACTATTTTAGCCATTATTCACATCACACCAGCTGCCAAAGGGGTTAATTCTATGTTAATGACACACTTATACTTTATTAAGGCTTACAGTCTATATCACTGAGGCCTGACTTCGTTTCAGAGAATTCAAACCACTGACATGGTCCTTATTAATCAGACTTTGTGCAGTTGGAGCCTTTTGGAGCCTTTTTAAGGGATTTATGGATGCAGGTTTATAACAAACCAAGCTACAATTATCTGATAACCTAATACTCCGCCCTCTGTTGTGGTCACTTCTGACTCCATTGCCTGCAAACAGAGAGCTTATACAAACAGCACGCAGCATACCTGAGCCTTTTAGGTGCCAGCCTGGTCAGAGGCTTCATGTGATTATTCGTCCGGTTTTCATACGTCCTCAAGGAATCCGAGTGAGTGAAGTGCCTAAGAGTGGGAGACTGGAAAGAGGAGACGTATATTATTATTACAAAAAAAAGGGAAGCCAGCAGTTTGAGACAAAACAAGAAACAGTCAGCCTACAGACAAACCAGTAAACCTTAAACTTTTCCACTTTTGTGAAACCCAATGCAACAAATTTCCTGCCACTGAGAATTACATCACTCGCTTCCGGCTCTGAAATGTGAAGCAACACGGAAGTGCCTTTAAATCGCATTCTTTCTAACGACCAGTAGGGGACAGCAACTCTGGGTTCAGGAAGTTCACCTGTATAGAAGTGTATGGGAAAACCACCCAACATCTCACTTCATTTCTGAGATCAGTAAACAGTCTTATGATCAGTGCATGATCCAAGCTGCTAGTTTCAAATCTTACTGAATAGAGGATAAATATTATTTTGTAAATAAAACGCACCACCAACCAACCGGGTGGATTTGTCAGTATTTTTACACGCAGTCCACAGATAGTGCTGAAGACACTGAAATTTAGAATACAGTTGTGGCAAATCTTTTGAACCTTTTAGTACAAATCTGTGTTCCCAGTCTTTTTTTTTTTTTTAAAGCAAAAATCAGTTATTTTTCTTAATTTGAATTTTCTTAATGTTCCCTTTTAGCATTTTGGATTCCTGGTCAGAAAAAAAAACATTTAAAATGACATCAACTCATTAACAGACAGTGATGCATTTAATTATGATTTCCTGCATTTTCAACCTCATAGGCTTCCTTTAGTTTTGAAACGGGCATAAATGACCGCTGTTGTAATGAAGACAATGTTACACACAAGTCTCGAAAATTAAAAAAATCCAGTTGACTGCAAGCTCATCCTCGAGAGAATCACTACAGGCCAACGCCCACCAACAGCTCGCATTTTCCCCAACTACATCATCATCAGCTGCCCTTAAAATCGACTCCCACGGCGCCCCGGCAGCCTGAGCTCATAGCTCGCCGGGGTCCTTCGGGTGCCACGCCGGGCGCCAAACAGAATCTGGCATTGTCTGCTCTGACTGCAGGGCTGATCGAAGAGCACCACGGCCCGCTGGGAGTCCACACCACCGGCGGGTGGGAGTCAGGAAATGTGACTGGGAGAAGAGAGAGAGAGCGAGGGGTAGCTTACCTTTTTCCCCTCAGGGGAGCTCAGCGGCTGCCGGTCCATGTCCTCCACACTCACCACACTCGCACTAAGAGGAAAAGAGGACATGATGAAAAGCATGTTTATGCTCAGCTTTAACATATTTTAAACACGCAGCCTGTCAAAGGCTGTTCAATGTGTCTGTGTGGGTATAAAATAACACGTCTGCACTTTAATGGGGACAAAGTGGGTCGTAGGGTTTGACCGATATATTTTCACTACACCATTTGTATTCCTTCATTTTAGCACAGACTGAGCAGAGATAATTAAGAGGCAGACAGAAAATTTATCAGAAGCTATTTAAAAAAAAAAAAAAAGTTTAATCAATGAAAATCTGAAAACATGAGCTTGTTCCAATTTGACGCTTTTGTTCTTTTTAATTTGGGCTACATCCACACTAACGCATCGTTTTCTCTTGTTTTGGCCTCCCGTCCACACTGAGACGGCGTTTTACCTGAAGGAAAACGCAGCGTTTTGAAAACGCTCTCGAAAACGGATACATTTGAAGACGGTGCTTATGTGTCGCAGTGTGGACAGCGAAAAAGGAGACTTTTGAAAACGATGATGCATGTTAGTCATATGACCAATTAAACAAAGATAGCGGAGGGCATTATACAGCAGTTGTGTTGTTTACTCTCAATTTTGACAGCCCTATTAAAGATTAATATCAGTTTGTACATGCTTCAGATAGCTTTTCTTCAAATTCTTTAAGTCTCACTCACTTTTGCAACTTTGTACTTTTGTGTTACTCGCAGCAACAACTCCACCTCATTGTTAGTCCACTTAAAAAACTCGGTGCTTTCCCTCGACATTTTGCCGCGGCGTTTCAAAGAGGCGGGAAGTAAATAAACGGGAGACAGAAATGAGGCAGGTCGAATCTTCTTGCATTTCATGCATGAACAGTACTGGAACGTGAGCATTTTCGGCCGTTTCAATGTGGACGCACAACTCTGTGAAAACAACTGAAAACGCTAGTGTGGACGAAAATGCCGTTTTCAAATCTATCCGGGCTAGTGTGGACGTAGCCTTGGTGGCTACGTCAATTCTTCCAGGTGTAATCCAACCTGCAACTAACATTTCATCATTTTTTAAAATTAAAAATGTAATAAATAAATGGGTGTGTTGTTTTAGGTTGTGGACCTGAACTTTAGACAAGCGATCTCAACACTAAAGGCTGAGTTTATTTTTTACTAGATATGCCAACTAATAATAAATGAATAGAACCTGTTTTTATGTCTGGGATGAGATTTGATTTCTGAATCAGCATAGGTAACTTTAAAAAGAAGGAACTTTTAAATAAAACTCAAATTGTTAGAGCAAGCAGCCATTTTAGATCAAATCTCAGTCCCAGGGATGGGGGTATGATCCCTCAGACGCAGACAGACGGGACTTTTGGCACCCAGTTTGGTTTTCAAATTTGACTAACAAATTTTTCTTCTTTTGCATGCAAAGCGCAAAAAAAAAAAAAAAAAAAAAAAGGCACAAAATGAACCAAATGTAATCCCAAAACCATGATGGTGGTTTAGTAGAAAACCAAGTCTTGTCTGGAGATCCACAGAAAGGCCCCCCCCAAAAAATTAAAAAAAAAATAAAAAAAATTGCCTCATGCCCCCCAGAAGGTCAGCTGGTAAATGAGTCAAAAAATTAACATTTTAGCCACTGCTATGTTGGTTTTTGGAGCCAGTTGTGACTCTGAAGTCAGTCACAAATTTTTAGGCACTTTAACATTCAGGACCCGCTTTACTGTCCCATTCTTCTTGTTGGTGGTTATGTATTTGTGCCAACTCCCATTCTACCTGCCATCTAACAAGGACTTTGTAGTTTAGCTTAAGTCCTAAAATGACGCTAAAGAGGAATGCTTTGTGTTCCTCTTTAGCGTTAGGACAGTATATAGTATACATGGTGGCTGTGTTGTTTTTGGACTACTGCCCATTCAGATTAAGACATTAAAAGAACATCTGCTTGGGTTTTAGAACATTAAACAATTATTAAATAGAAATTAATTATCAGCTGCTTTGACGTCCTGCTTTTTACATTCCTATTATTGGAAGCCTTTACAAATCTGCGACCCATCCTGGTCGCTGATGTTTAATATTAGCCAACATATCGGTCCAACCCTAGCAGGTGAGGATGTGCACGCAGGCAGAGGTTTACAATATCACACTGCTCAGGTCTGCTGCGCTAAAACACCACTGAACTCATAATCAGTGGGGAATAGGCTGCTCGTCAGCAGCAGGGGTGTCACTGGGGTCTTTTTCCTGTATGTGCAGTGCAGTGCAGCGCTGATGGTGGTGCTGAAAACGAGGGCTGGAGAAGTGCTTACTCATGTCTCCTTTCCTCTTCACAGTCACCAGAAAGAGAAAAGCTCCAGTTGTGCTTGTACCCTCCATCTCGCCTGGTCTCTGATCTATCCAGGGCTTGAATTGAATAATAAATCAGACTCATGTCAGTGCACGGAAACAAGACACAGGCATTAGCTGAAATGACCATTTACAGGATGCCCCGCAATTCACGGGTTGATCCTTTCACCTAGAAGATATGAAAAGCTTGGTAATAATTAGCAAAGACGGGAACCTGCTGCAGCGTGGCGACAACAGGAATACACTCACGTCACTGCAATGAAGTGTGATCAAACAGCAAATTTCTAATCATTTTACAGACTTAATTACTGCGTTAGCATCAATGAGAAAGTGTGACAACGATGCCAATTTGTGTCTCTACATAAAGATTCTTAAACAGATGCCAAATGTGATAACTTGTGACATGAGAGTAGAATTCATTCATTTTACAAGCAACTGGAAACTACATTCAAATCTGTGGGAATAACCTGGAAGTCCTGCAGAAGATGTCTGCCATTTCCTCCAACAAACAAAACTGCTATTTAAATGTTTGTACCAAGTTTTGAAGGTTGGAGGTAAAGAGGTTTGTAGTGTGTAAAGAAGTCACTGATGTCTGAATGTATGAATGAATGTGAGAGGCAGTTTAATGCCTCCAGCTAAGCTTTGCTGTGGATTTATCAACTCAGGATGGACCTTCAGCGGTGACTATATGTGACAGTAAACTCAGCGAGTCTGATGTGTGTTACTGACAGAAACATGTAGTCTGTTACCTGTGACCCTAACTTGACAGGTTTCATGTGATAAAACACAGTGAGCAGCTGTCCATGCTCTGCATTATCCATGAGTTATGGGGTTAAAATAAACAGCTGCACAATCATATTTAAAATGAATAAAAATGTCGGTTTTTCCAGGCAGCCTGGCAAACAGAATCTGGGAGGTTTTTCAAAGAGATTTACTGTTCACAGAACACATTTTTTAAAATAAAGTACATACTCTGAAAACTGAGTTTTAGCTCAAATTTTTCTCAGAAAGGTGGCATTTTGAAAACAAGCGGCTGCTGGTTAGAAAGGTAGCCGGCTTAGAGCCATCTGTTAACCTGGAACCGACGCTATATCCTTTAACAAGAAGCTTTAGCCTCAAGCAGTGTCCAACTTTCTCCACGAAGTCTCATTAAACATGTACATACCCATATTAACTTTAAGGGGAACGGAGCTTCTTTTATGTCAGCTGCGCGTTTTTCTTCACATTTGTGTTTGTTTTGTTACACTCGCGCCTTCTCTCTGTCGTGCTGTGACATGCAGACTTCTTAGGAATTAATACCTTATTTTGGTGTTTGTGTCCCTAAACCTCTTCAAGGGAGAAAAATATTTTAAAAATTTGCATATTAGTTTGAATCACTGACCAAAAACAAAAACACCGGAGACAAATACCAACGCAAATACATCTGCTGGATGTCGCCACAAACGCTTGACTTCCTGTTTCCTCCCAAAAATCAACCGATTTACTTTGAAGTGGATTTCAAAACCACAGCACCCAGCAGGGGATTCAAACGTGGGCGAATTTTACTTCAGTAAACCAGGAAAAAACAAACCTAACAGTTATTAAACAGGCTGTGTTTCAGCTGATTTATTCCATCCAGGGGATCAGAAAGTGGACAAACTGATGGCATCATGTTAATGCAGGTTATCCATCTGGCTGCAGGCCCAACAGCTAAACAATTAGGTCCCCTCGGTTCATACAGGCATACTTTTTTAAAGCTCTACCGCCAACAAACACTAATTCTGAGGCCACTGCCCCCCAAGTGTCACACATAAAACTTGAGGCCAGGATTAGGAGAGACAAGCAGCTGAATATTTTCATCTTGTAAGGAAAAACACTGCTCTATTTTTAGTGACTTATCCATTTTATGGGTCTTTTTAAATGACTAGGGTAGGGGAAAAAAGCTAAAATTCAAATGCACATATTAGATTACTCTCCCAGAGCTCCCATGCCTCAGCTGCCTCTCATCTAGTTCAATCCTGCACAAACCTAATTGAGCCTGTTCCTATCTCTTCCAGCTAATAGAGACGACCCCGCACACACACTCTGCAAGCTTCACATTGGCTCCGTCTTCCAGCTTCATAAATCACAACAAATGCCCCAGAAAACAGGGAGTCGAGGCCGTTTCAATTCTTTGAGGTTTACTCCGCTCATTTATCTGGACTGCGGGGGTTCTAACAGTAGATTTCCTGAAGGACAAATCCACAATACAGGGTTGGGAAGCATCTTTGTCACACAGGAATTATCCAAACAGATGTTTGAGCAGCTGACAGCTTATTATCAATCATAAATGAGCTCAGAGGGACCCTCCTCCCCCCATAATAAACACCCAGTTCATTCACCTGAAACACTTCAAGCACAGACCTGAAATCGGTTTCTACAGATCCACAGCATGACATCAAATCCTGGCCTGCAGCTTCAGGGTTACAACGCTTGCAATTCCTCTACTAAGATTTAGATTTTTTTAAGAACATGACATTTCCCAGATTAAGCAGGAAGGGAGGCAATATTATTCTGATCTTGATTTAAAAAGCCAGGTGGGGTATCGACACTAACAACTCTATTTTCCTACGTTACCTGTATTTAGCATTTGTGTTAATTTTTATTTCATTTTGAGTTTTTGTTTTCAGGCCAGTTGGGCTTCAGTTGATGCCTGCAGATTTGCTCTTTTCAGTTTAGATTTTTTTTGTTTCTGTGCTAGTTTTAGTCTTTTAAATTACAATATATTCTTTATTTGTATTTAAATAAACAAAGAATTACAACAGCTTGTGGGGTAGTTAACTCACAGTCTCAAAAAGCTGCACTAACAGAGATTAAAACTAAAGCTGTAGTTTGTAGTGTAAACAAATGTCTTTGCACTGATCTGAGCACTTTCAAACTTTTTGTTCTACTTCTGCAGCACTTTCTGGATTTCCCATCTGTCAACAGATGCATACCCCAACTCCATTGTTCAGTTGCACAAAAAGAAGGTCATGGTTTCCACCTGCATATAAAAACGCCACCCTGCCCCATCTAAATGTACCCCCAGCAGGTCGCCAGTTAAAAGACTGAAAAACTATAACTCAATACAGAAAGACCTGAGAAGCTGCATGAAGGTCCAGGGTGAGATAAGAATGAACTGGGAGTCATGGAACGCCCAATCTTAACTTATCTGCAGCCTTCAACATCTCTGGCCATACCAAACTCACTGACAGATTACAGAACTGGGTTGGCATCTCTGACATTTTCCCATCATACAAGTGAAAAAATAAAATAAAATAAAAATTCAGAACTAAAATTAAGGTTGTCATCAGCATCCCTCACATGTGAACAACACTGTTTTCCTCGTATATGTTACCCCAGGACAGTTTCAAAGACAATTTGTATCATTTCTATGCAGACGATACATAGCTGTAATTTACTGTTAATCCAAACAACCTTAAGAGACTTTTCTACTTCAATGACTGGCATTAACGACTGAACGTCTTCAAATTTACTTTTTCTCAATCCTGGCAAAACTGATGTTTTTCTGCCCCCTCGCCAACAAATCATCTACTTAGAACCTTGCTGTCATTTTTAACCAGAAATGTAAATTTAAAGCTCACATCTCAAGGCTTATCCAGTCTTTGTTTCTTAAATGAATGAAATATCACTAAAATCAGTCCTTTACTGACACCAAATAATCTAAAACTTCCAGTACACGCTTTAATTTTCTCCCATTTCGATTACTGTACTGTTTGACATGCATCTCTCAGTCCTCCTTAGCTCATCTTCAACTGGTCCTTAACACTGTAGCTCGGCTACTAACAAGAACTAAACAATTATTTTATAGGTTAGCCTCTCTTTATTCTTTTGTCCATTGTCTACGGCTTTTGTTCTAATGTGTGTGTGTGTGTATATATATCTAACAATGACTGAAACACTGATAATTTACATGTATTTGTTAAATGTATTTTTAATCCAAAAAAAGCACTTTTTAGCTGACAGTTTTAAATCATGCTACACAAAATAAAGTTATTATTATATGCCCAGACTTGATAAACACCCAATATTTGTTTGTGGGATTGATCACTTATGACAAAAGTCAAAATCATGATTGTTTTGGACAGCGTTGAGATCAGGATTATTTAACAACATTAATGACTTACCCACATTACAGAAAGTTCTGTTTGTTGTTCCTTGACAGAGTTCTTGAAAGGAAATAATTTAAAAACAAATGATCTGGTTTAAATACTATTTTTGGCTCAAGCTTAAATGAACTTGCCACATTGTTTATGGGAGTTTGACTGGGGATTCAGAGAAGAGCTAAAGATGAACGATGTTAATTATCTTATTTTAATCACTGTCGGAAGCCAGTTGAGTTTGAATTTTGATTGATTGCAAAGCTCTAATCGATACAGTAATAAGGTTTTCCCTGTAAACAGAAAATGTTGCTGCCTCCCAAAGATAAAGGAAAATCACCAGCAGGGTGCTTTTTGACCACATTTACTTCAAAACAATGCCTTTTTTGTTCATCAACGTCCCCAAAAGCTTGAAAATCCACTTTTTTCAGCACATATTTCTGTTTAACAAAAAGGTAGCCCAGACCAACTGCGCTTGCAGGTGTAATATCCCAAGCCCAGTAAAACCAATCAGCCCCTGAATGCCCACGAGCCAAGAAAAACAATGCCCCAAGCCTGCGGGACTAAAATGTGATTTTTGGCTTTTATGAAATGTTCTCCTAACTCTCAACGATTGACCAAAATAAACTTGCTACTGAGTCAGTCTATCTGAATTTTATTTTTCATTAATGTAATTATCCCTTTTAAACCTGTCTTTTCAATGAAAAAAAGATAACAGCAAACCTCACAGGCCATATGTAACATACTGGATGGGCTGGACAATACATAAATAAATGCCCCCAGCTATAACAATAAAAAGATATACGTTTTATTTTTTGTTCCAGGGTAAAAAAAGAAAAGAAAAAAGGGCTGCTTCATGAGGAGACAGCTTAATTGCTTGGCACCACCTTCAGATAAAATCTGTTTTGTGTGGTTTTCAGAAAGCCGGTGAGCAAGGCATTAACAGACATATGTAAACCACCTGGCTGTGAGTGACGGGAGCCCTTCAGAGTTCAGTTTTCAATCTGAATTTAAGCTGAAGGGCAGAGAGAAAGCACGGTGGGTTAATGTTTACATTTTTTTAATGTTACAGTTAGCATGCTAACATCTTGGGCTGGTGTTACCCTGCTAGGTTGGGCGCTGCGTGTGTCATTTTCGCCGCTTTTCTGTGTGTCACTCGGGTGTTTTTGCATCTTTCTCCTGTTGTATTAACGTGTTGTTAGAGCTAGCAGCCAAGCAGAGACAGGAAGGCCTGTCGCTGCACACTGCAAACCCAGCTAACGTCAGCGCTAACGACGGGGTCGCTAGCTCAGACTGTGCAAGCCCAGAGTCCACTAAAGCCCGCAGAACTGAACCGAACCGGACCGGACTAGACTGGACTGCACGTGTCTCAACTTCCCCCTCTGGGCCCCGAAGTGTGTCTGTGCCCGCGGCCTGGCAGCGCTCAGTTCAACCCCGTGTGTGTGAGGATAAATGTGTTTTAACAGCGAGCTAATGCTAGCCATAACTCGCTGGTGTTCCACACGTAATTTGGACCGATGGTGTTCAACGCCAGAGCGGCCAGAACCTGCCTCTGTGTGTGGGTAAAAAAGCTGCTGGGCGGCCGGAGCACGGAGCAGAGTGTCACGGCTTACCTTCAAAGAAAAAGCTCTTATTGTGGGCCATGTTTAGTCCATGATCCTCCTCGGATGATAGTGTTGCTCATCAGCGCACTCAATAGAGCAGATATGTAGCTGCCTACGATCAGCTCGGAGTTCAGGCTGCAGAAATTCACCTCGGTGCCGGAAGTGTGCTTAAATGCTTTCAAAATAAAATATTCTAAACAAAATGGAATATAGTCATCACGGTGTACTAATAAAGCGCAGTGGGTATAAATAAATACACAATTCCGTAAAAAGGATGCAAATTTCACAAAAAAACCCCTTTGTTTCTGTGGAAAAAAAACCCTCACATCTTTCAAGCTTAAAGTTGTAAATTTACAGAATAAAAAAGAAATTCATGAGAAAACACTGAAGTTCTTTTAAATAAAAAAAAGTTAAATAAGTACATTTAGCAGAAAAAATACATATTTATGAGATAACATTAATTTTTTTTAAAATCAGTTTTGTAAATTTACACAAAAAATTCCAAAGTTATGACAAAAAAAATTTAGAATAAATTTGTAAATTTAGAAGATAAAAAGTGTAAAATTCAGCAGGAAAACACTAACAATTTGTACGATTAAAGCTGTAAATTTACAATAAAACAAAAACAAACAAACCCCAAAACATTTAGGGTTATTGAGGACAAACGGTGTAATTTTACAATGAAAACATTACATACATTTCCAAAAACACCACACAAATTGATCAATTTTCCACCCAACGTTCACCACTGTTACCCTGGCCAGCCACCAAGAGTTCTCATGAAAAAACACTTTTTCTTTCTTTCTTAATGTGACAGAGATTAGTTCCTGGATAGTTTTTAAAGCTCTTGGTCTTCTTTTACTACCAAGGAAGAGAGAATTTCTGAGTTTCAAAAATCTTTAACTAAGCATCTGGCTTATCTGGAGTTTTACATTATAAAAGAAACCTTTGAGCCAAACACATTAAGCCTGCGTATTTTCAGTTTTCTAGGTGGCTCTAAGTGGCTCTACAAAACCAGTTCCTCACTTAGAAGCGGTATAACTCTGTGGTGTCACACGGGTTTGATCCGGGTGGCCAGAGTCGTATCATTTGTTATTTTGGTGGTGGCACAGAAACAGATTTTTCCCTGCTGGAAATCACTGTGGACCAAGTAGTATATTTACATATTTACATACAGTAGTTCAAATAGCCTATTTTATGTATTTTCTATATAATCTACATTAATAAAAAATCTGAAGGAGCTGCTAAGGTTTAAAGGTGTCAATAAAGGTTCTAAGATTACAATTTGAATGGAGTACTACAAGAGCAGTTGCTGTGAGATATAAGCTCTAAGACCTTCCACCCCAATAACAGGCCAGTCATTGTGAGGTGTGGCCAGCATTTTCCAAGTTTCTTTTCATTGTGTTAGTTCTCAGAAGTCTCTTTATAATCCCAACATTCTGTAAAAAATGTTATTCATGATTTATGCTTTTGTTTTGAAGGGGTCAGGGTCAGAGGCACCCATGGCCACCCCTTGGATGCGCTTCTGGGCAAACCTGTGCAAACGAACTTCACTTTTCCAATATTTAACAAACAAATGAGCCAAGCATGCGGATGAGCTGATGTTAGAGCTCTGTTTCTGAGCACTGCTTTGTGAAACAGGATTCTGCCGTGCTGAAGTCTGTCTTTATACCTCAGTGTGGTTATGTTTGATAGAAACTACATGTTGGACTGAAAGATGCCTATAAGACGAAGTTTATTCAGCCATTTGTCAGTTCCAAATTTAAAAAATATCTTTTCTTGTGCTGAAATTCAGGCTTTACTTTCTTCTTCTTTCTTTCTTTGTTATCTTAAACAACACACACAAGTACACACACAAGTACACACACATATGCATATACATACACACACATATGCATATGTGTGTGTGTGTGTGTGTGTGTGTGTGTGTATGTAGGTGCCTGCTGCTGCTGAAGTTCTGCCTCTGTTTGTGTGTCATCATGACCTGAGCTTCTAACTAAAACACTTGCAGACTTTGTGACCCTGTCTCTGGGTGTGGATGTACATTTGTAAAGAAAGGTTACAAGTAAACACATTTAATTACATGTAAAAGTGAAGATTAGATCATATTTGTGGCTTTCTGGTTGTGTTATTAGTTCTTTAACCACTGTTTGCAGATTGTTTTTGTTTCTGGTCAAGTACAGTTGTTCTTTTTAAATTTGAGTCACAAAATTATCATTAAAATCTCAGCAACTCAAACAGGTGAGTTTGAGTTGCTCGAATTTAGATTTTTCAAATAAAAGAAAGTTTCAATTGTTATTTTTGAAAACAAAAAATGTAAAAGAAAAATAATTAAGTGTATTTACATGCATATGAAGAGACGTATCTTAATTTTACACGCGTTTGATCACTTCTACTGAAACACCAAATGACTAATAGGCTGACTTTTATTTTGAAAGTAACCTACGGATGTTCAGCTTTCCATTATTTGTGAATTGGCCGACTGCTGACCTACACATATCTCTACATAAGCAAATACAACTTTTTTCTTTTTTTAAAAGGCATTTATCCTGAATCCGTGTTTTATAGATGTTCACTCACAGATTACCACTTAGTAAAAATAAAAGTAATGAATTAGTAATAAAACAATAAAAAAAAAAAAAAACAGCAGGTATCCCAATTTTAAACAAGAAAGAAAGAAAGAAAGTGCACTTTATTGATCCCCGTGGGGAAATTCCTCTCTGCATTTAACCCATTCACTCAGTGAAGCAGTGGGCAGCCATTGGCCGCCCGGGGAGCAGTGTGTAGGGACGGTACCTTGCTCAGGGGTACCTCAGGGTAGCTGTTCAGGGGAAGGCAGTATAAAATAAAAACAAAACAAAACAAAACAAAACAAAATAAAATGATTGTAATTCTGAAACCAGAATTTAAGAAAAGAAAAACTTCTAGACTGAGGTAATGTGAAAAAAATATGACTTCATTTTAAATTTCTATAACAATTCTTGTCAGAGACAGATGTGTTGATTAATGATTTATCCTGATAGGTCAAAAGATAAGATTTCCCGCTTCCCCTTTTATTCTTCATGCTGTGCACTCTGTAGTTTCATGAAGAGACTGGGATGATAGCTAGATGGCGATGTTTCTCATAGATCTGAGACAAATTATGATGTCATTGCAAAAATTCCTGCACAGTGATTTCACACTCTGCCGCACATACAATCAGAGGCACTTTAAACTCTAAATTTAAAGCTGTAGCTGTATTTGACTATAATACTAATAGATTTTCAAAATAAACTTTACAACCCCCTTAAAATTAAAATAAATAAATGTCGTGACTGTGAGACCTCTCCTCTGTGAAATTTAAACAGTAGAATGAAGGGAAAAGAGGCAAAAGGTTGCCCATCCTTCCATCCAGCCTTTCATTGATCCAGAGCCGGCCCAAGGTTTTATGGGGCGTAAAGCAGAAACTGATTTTGGTCCTGCTTCTAAACTCCCCATCAGAAACCTACCCCAGCACTACCAATACATGTCAAGGGCTGTGTGCGGCAGGCAGGAATGGACCCAAAATGCAGATTCGAGGAGGCAAATGTGAACTCAAATGTAGATTTATTGCTACACAGCAGAAAACAAACTAAACTGTGACTACAAATAACTAAACAGGTAGCCTGGCAGACACAACACACAGTTTAGAATGATGAAGATTGTGACACAGACCAAGGAAAACACAGGGCTTAAATACACAAAGTTGGTAACACAGCCTGGACAAATCAGAGCTAACAAGACACATGAAGCAAAGCAGACTTAGCTGACAAAGGACAAGGACTATCAAAGTAGACAGGAAACACTCAAGACATGGCTAGACACTGAGAGAGCTAAAACTTAATCACTAAACACAAGGAATAAACAACCTAACATGAACCACTCAGATAACCTAAACTTGAAATATTCCTTTAAGCCACTAGACAAAGAAAACTTGAACATAATAAAATAAACAAAATCAAACAACCAAAAACATGAAACACTGGGTCGACGACCCAGACAACCTAACAATACAGATTATATGTACTGTTAATGCATTACACATCAAACACAACCGTTATCATGGATGACTAATGAGAGAAATGAAATAAACCTGAAGATGATACATTTTAAAAACAAGTTCACTGTTTTAATTGTTTTATGAGTGGTGGAAAAGACAGAAGATCCATCCATCCATCCATCCATCCATCCAGGAGTTTGAGAAACCCAGGCTTCCCTCACCCCGGGCACCTCTTCCAGCTCACTGAGTCATACCCAGGCCAGTCAAGACATGTAATCCCTCCAGTGAGTTCTGGGTCCTGAAACTCTGAAGCTCTGAGTCCCAGCCAACTGAGCTCCTAATCTTATCTCTAAGGGAGAGTAGGAAACTAATTTCAACCACTTGTACCTACGGTTTAATTTTTAGTCACTACCCAGAACTCATGACCATAGGGGAGGGTGCCCCCCCCCTGTGAATAGCCACCTTATTGGAGTGGAGGGGTTTGTGTATGTTGTCAGAGGCAATTTGTCCTTGGCAGGGTCTTCAAAGGCAGATTGAGATGAAGTTCTTTGTCTGGGTGAGGGGACAGACAAAGAGCAACTTATATCACCCAATGAAATAACAGAAAATATGAAACTAATTAAAAGAATTTACTGACTGGATCACTAACAGGAGGTTTTAAAGCATAATGCCTGTGGTTTCCATACAACAACACCTGAGCTCATTACGTGTTCAGTGAACTGAAGGCATGGTTGATGCTTTTGTTGAACTGATTTCATGAGACTTAATCTCTCCAGCTGAACAAACCCAAGCACTTCATCTAAGAGGCTTCCAAAAGGCATCTTGGACAATTTCAGTTTTATTTATACAGCACCAAATCACAATAACATTCGCCTCAAGGCACATTATATTGTAAGGTAGATCCTACAATAATACATAAGACAAAACCCCAACAATCATATGACCCCCTATGAGCAAGCACTGGGTGGGAAGGAAAAACTCCCTTTTAAACCTCAGAACCAGGCTCAGGGAGGGGCGGCCATCTGCCACGGCTGGTTGGGGAGAGAGAAGGAAGACAGGAAGAGAGTGAAAGAGAGCCAGAGATTAATAACAAGTATGATTCAGTGCAGAGAGGTC